GATGAATAAACGCCATTCAGCTGGATCATATGGCTCACCAAATTCTTCAAACAAGCCGTTTACGTCATGGCAAAAACATGCCTTGTCCTTTGTAGAATAATATTTGTCAAATTTCTTGTGACGATTCCTGTGACAAGAAATTTTGACCTCCTTGCTCAGCATGTTGTGTTCTTTCAAGCGTGATGCCAGCAATTCGGATTTCTCCTTCGACAAGTCGAGATCTCGCACCAAATCATTAAATTCGGATTGTGTAAACAGTTTTGGGTTTCTTTCCAATTCCACCTCGAAGTCTTCCTCGCATTCCTCCTTGAATTCCTCCTCACTTTTTGTAACGGTCGATTCAACAGAGGGCGCTCGTTTCCGCTTTGGATAAACAGGATACGGGACCGAACTTGAATGTGCAACAGGTTTTGTCATAGAAGCCACTTGTGGATACTCAACTGTTTTGTGACGTCCTTGTTGCTTAACTTTTGTCAAGCAGAAATAACAATCCGTTGCATGACAAAACGGTCGACGCCATATGGTGGGCATGTCAAAGGACAAATAGCGACTGACAGATAACAAATAAGTGAGTTAGTAAGTAAGACATTAACACTTATCAAAAATAGATGAAGTAAGATAATGTCGATCAGGAAAGAACAAAGCACTACCATGCTGTACATAAATTGTTTATATGAAAGTTATTCAAAAAATCAATTTACCTTGCGCCTGACATCCACCTAGCCAAGCACGTTTTGCACGAACTACATAATACTTTTGGAATCCACGGTTCGTCAAAGTCTCCAGGATCAATTTTAAAATAAAGCCTGTATGCAGTTTGCAACGAAGCAGTGAAATTGACCGATTTTGTAAATATATAGTTGCCACACGCGTAACAAAACTTTTGAGGATCATTTTTACACTTGAATTCACGTTTTGTCGTATACATCGTTAAGCAATGTTAAAGAAAGAAAGCTGTCAAATTGAGTTGGTTACGTTAGGTTCTCGCCGAGCGGTCTCACAAACACTAGCGTAAATTATATTGTTGAAAATATCCCATTTAATTTTGCGTGACAGCTGGTAGTGTTAGTGAAATGCACCGTATGCGTACACGTCCGCAGAAAGGCTTACTGGAAGTGGTGCATGAACCTAGGAGCGGGACAACGGCTAATCTTGGAACATTCAATTTCCATGATTTTACAAAAAATTTCATAACTTCGACAATTTCCAACCGATTTCATCCATTAAAGACTCATTTTCTCCAGTTTTTAATGGACTTTAAGAATAAATTATGGAATGATTTTTTGAATCTTTTTATCCCATTGAAAATGTTGATTAAAACAAGATTTTTATGGAAAATTCACGGGAAAACTCAAAAATGGCTCTACTTTAATTTTTTCTGACCACGGCATTGAATTCAGCGTAGGATTTTGCATTAGAAACGTTGGTCAACCACTAAAGTTCACACTTTTTATGTTGTTTTGTAAACTAGTGTTATTAACCATTACATTACATTTAAATACATTATCTCATGCGTAAGATGAACCGTGGTCTGATTATGCTAATAGGAATTGTCGAAAGTTTTGAATTATAAATTACCAACAGTTTAACATGACATATGATGAGACCATATTTATAACCACCACTATTAGAAACATAACTGAGAAAACCAATACTAAGGCTTGTACTCGAAAAAAATGCACCATTTTTATCCGTGGGTAAAAATAGATGAAAATCTGGGTATAACTAGTTTGGAGTGAATTGTTTACATGTGCAAAATTTCATAACAATCGGTTCAGTGGTTATTGAGATGTAATCGAAACAAGAAGAAAATCGCCGGAATTTTGCGCGCCGTCATGGAAAATCCGACTGCAACCATGAGATGGATCGGAAGACAACTTGGAATCACCCATACAACTGTGTCTCGGGTGGTAAAATCGTTTAACGAGTCCCAGACGACCGAGAGGCGGGCTGGAAGTGGAATAAAATCGAAGACACCTGACCCTGTGAAGGCCCGGAAGTTGTTGGATTATTTCAAGCGTAATTCGAACCTTTCGATTCGCGACGCGGCTCTGAAGGCAAAGTGTTCCGCCTGGTTCGTTCAGCAAACCATGAAACGAGCTGAGCTTCGTGTATTCAAGGTCCGGAAGGCACCGAACCGGCGTGATCAACAAAACACGGCGGCCAAATCCCGCGCAAGGAAGCTGTATAGAGAGTGGTTCACGAAACCGACGTGTGTGGTTATGGATGACGAAACCTACATCAAGGCAGACGCAAAGCAGATACCGGGGCTGTAGTTCTACGTTGCCAAATCACGGTTCGATGTTCCGGAAGACATAAGGAAGAAGAAAGTGGACAAATTCGCCAAAAAATACTTGCTCTGGCAGGCCATATGCCAATGCGGTAAACACATAACAATGGGTACCATCAACAGCGAAATGTATCGCACCGAGTGCCTCCAGAAGCGTCTGTTGCCCTTCCTGCGGTCCCACGGAGGCGAGACATTATTTTGGCTGGACCTGGCATCATGCCATTACGCGCGATCGACGTTGGATTGGTACAGAGACAATAACGTTGTTTTTGTACCAAAAACCGCTAACCCCCCAAATTCACCAGAGATTCTTCGTCCGGTGGAAAGATTTTGGGCCATAATGAAGGCCAAAGTTCGAAAATCGTCCAAGGTGTTTAAGAACGAGCTGGAGTTGAAGAAAGAATGGATGAAAGTGACCAAAAAGGTCGGCTTCACCATTGCACAAAATGTAATGAGGGGTCTTAAGGGAAAGGTGCGGGCTTTCAGCGATGGAAAGGAAATTGAATAAAGTAATCCCCGTTCACTTTTGTCTGGTGCATTTTTTTTTTCTAGTACAGGCCTTATTATAACCGAATTCCAGCACATTCATGCGATATGATGGAAAACATTTGAGTCTTACAATAGTCAAATAGTAGACAAAATTGTGTGCAGTTCCAAGTTTAAAATAAGCAGTTATGCTAGGAAATTAATTGGTCATGATGCACGCGGTCTATCCAATTCCTCAGGCAACACCGTTTGGGTTTAAATTATCTCCATCTGTATAGAACGCAGGTTCAAGAGCAACTACTTATGGACGACCATGCGTATGACCAAATCTCAATGATCAAGTAGGTTATGAAAAATGACTGGCGCAATTTTTCAACCTCGGTTGGCAAGGAAATACTGAGGTGTTTACACTTATGCTATTTAAGTAGCGCTGGTGAGCCAGCTGCTAGCAAAAACGCTCACCAGCATGATGTAAACAGGGCGTCAGCATCTACCAGCTAGTTGAAATCAGCTGCTAGAAATTGTTTACATCATGCTAGCAGCTAGTTCATCAGCGCTAGGGAACTTCAGCGCACGCCTTTTGCTAGTTAGGTAAAGTTGGTCGTTATGGTAAGTGCAAAAACATGTTTTATAGCATACGAGTGCCAGCAAACCTGACTACAAATCAAAGATTATGTTTTCAAAGAGGCAACATTCTAGTCAGCTTATTTTAAGGATGACTCAATCACAGTCTGATTGCAATACTACCCATGTATAGAAAGTTGAAGAAAAACGTAAAATGTAGCCGTATTGGCACCAATACAATCAAATTGGAAAACAAACACAAGCAACCGTGTGAATGATCAACATTTGAGCCTTAAAGTGCCAAGTAGTCAAGCATCACTACTTAGACCAGTACTTAAGACTCTTACTCGACTTTGCGGATTCAAAATAGAAATTTCGGTAACAACCCTGAATTGATTTAGCTCCCCGCAGCAAATCTTCAGATCATTTCGCCCGCAGTGATTCTCATTTTTCTCGTGCCCTGTTCCCATGTGCATCTGTGCACCATCAGTTTTTTTTTGGTTTTATCCAGCGCTTCCCCCGAAATACACGGAATGTCAGCTGGGGACGAACGGACGTATCATAGCGGCAACAACCCACCGCACACTGTGCCTGCCATCCCGGTTTTCCCAGTGATGGCTTACACACGCTGCCTCTTCTGGTGTGGCTTGATGATGGCTTGGGACTGTTGAAAATCGCGAAAATTTGCATCCTCTTTTCTCACCCTCGTGTCCATTTTCAATCTGCTGCAGCAGACACGAGAAGCATCCGTCCGTCCGTAGGGGGAAATGGTGTAAAACGCGCCCGCGGGATAATATGACCAACAGCAATTTTTCATGGACTTAAAAAAAAAGGTTTATCATACAGGACTGCTAGGTGGGCTGTTGACCTATCAATTACTGCTTTAAAAGTACTTGTCGATGGTCATATGGTGCCAATTACACCCGTTTCCCCTATTTGCATGACGACCGTTTAGGAGTTTATTTTCGTTGCAATTTTTCACCTCCTTCCTCGCGGATGCGGTCACTGTCCTTTCTTTTTTTTAAATTTAAAAATTTTCACCAATCTAATGTTAGTTTTGAAATCTAGTAGCAACTGGCGTTTGACGACAACCGACACAAATCATAGCCAGTCCCGTACAGGAACACTTGACCGAGTGCGGATGATTGAATGCGACATTCCGCAACAGACGGCGGCGGTGGCAGAGCGCAGATTCCGCGCGCGATGCTTTGAAATCTATCGCATGGTGGTGGCGGCTGGTGGCAGGCAGTAGTCACTCCATATGGGTCGGGTCGGGAACGCGGCGGAGAGGGATGTTCTTGTTTGTTTATCATTCGTTAGTACCACTCAGCCTGGTGCTGTTTGCCACCAACCAGCGTGGTGTGCGATGCACAGAACTGGCTTGGGTTTTGTTTTTGCAGTGCTATTTTGCTGCTGTAGTGGTAGTGGTAGGTATAGTATGGCGGCGCTCTGCCCCGCGTCAATTATTTTTATCGCCGCTTCGAGAGAACGAAAATTGACTCGGTTGATTGAACTTGTAATGTCACAGTCGAGTGCCGCTCGCTGTCGACTATGTAGATAGGGGGGATTCCAACCCACGTGGTCACGTATTTGTGTGTGCTATAATGAAGTTTATTGCTTTACTGACGGAGATTTCTGTTTATGTTCTTTTTTTTTACAGAACATGGAGCCAACACAGGACGCAGCCTCGCCGCCAGATCAGTCGCAACCAGCGACGGATCCGTTAGCGATTGAGCAGCCCGATCAACAGGAGCCAGGTTCCGTTGCTCCGGAACCAGTTTCTACTACGGAGTCAGAGTCCATCGAAGAGGCTGCATCTGCTCAACCCCCGGGAGGGCCACCACCGGACCCTTCCGCTCAACAAGAACCTGCTCCGCAGGAAACGCAACATCAACCACTGCTCACCAAGAGCCCTCCGGTTGAATCATCTTCATCGGAAGTGGTTACGGTCAACTCTTTGGAAAATGTGATCAAATCTCCAACTCAGGAGCCGATGGTTGATCCGCTGGCTCCTAGCGAACCCCTACCGGCCGTGCAAGAGGAATGTCAATCGATGGAACCTGTCAAGGTCCGTACACCCCCAGCGGAGGAACCTCCGCTTCCCAAGGAAGACAAACCAGATCCCTCAACTCAGGAAAGCACCGGTGGCGTAAGCAGCAGCAATATGTCCGAACCGGTTCAACAGAGCCAGGTGTCCGAAGAGGACACCCCGACCAATTCTCAACCAACTTCATCAGATAAACCAACGACCTCGACTGTGGTGGAAACTCCAACGATTGCTCCGAACAATTTGAAACCATCCAACGAGGTCCCTACCAGCAGTAGTAGTAATACCAACAGCTTTACCGGCGGCAGCGGCAGTAGTAGTGCAACCAACCTTGGCATGCGGAATGCCGTATCTAGTGATAATAGTCTAAAGATAAACGGTATTAGTGATCTTAGCATACTCGATGTTACCCAAGGTAACGACGACGAGATTGAAGTGAAAGTCGAAGGTGGCAGCCTTATGCACAAGGTGATAAAATTTTCGCTCCTCAATGGAATGCAAGACAGTAGCAAACGGCTAGAAAACAGTAGGTTGATTATGAGTGGTGTTGGCAGCAATCCCACCATTGAGAAGACCCTGGCGACGACTTCGTCGCTCGGTAGAACCGCTCTCGGAGGAGGTCCTCTGAGGCAGAATGATAAAGCAAAGGAAGAAGGATTTAAAGGGGGTGGTGGTGATACGTTTGACAGTTCAAAGACTACACCACCGGCGTGTTCAAGTGCACGTCCCGCCTCGGCGGAACCTAATTCGTCCCTCAGCAGCTCCAACAGTAACAGTAGTGACAGTGGCAGCAATGCGAACAATAGTGACAGTTCTGAATCGAAACCGAACCGGACAGAAGAGCCTAGCGATCGGCTGAGGCATTCCGTCGACAGCAACGTTAGCAGTGGTACTTGTGCGGAGAATGTCCGTGAAGAAAGTGTTAGTGATACTTATAGCAAAAGTGTTTCGCTGGACTTTCGAGAGTGGCCCCAGACAAGCTCCGGTTCGACAGTTCCTGCATCCTCCAGTCCTACTACGACAACCACCACGACTACAGTGGCAGCAGTCAGCACTGCAGCTTCATTAGAGCAATCTACCATTAACCAGGAGACTGATCAATCCATGAACGCAGTTGGCGCTGCGCCGGTAGCAAAACGCTCCAAAGCGATGTATTACGCCGAGATGCCAGACTTCAGCAAGCCCATGTTCTCGACGCCGAGTTCGACTGCGACGACTCCTTCATCTACCACTTCGGGAAGCGATCGTAACTGCTCCGCTCCACCGAAAAGCCTCAGTCAACTACAGATGAAGACTCCCGACTTTAGTCGCATCATTGGCTCTCCGTCAAGTTCGAACGTCATCCCACCGTCTTCGACTCCGGCAGGGCAAACACCGGTATCAACAACCACTTTGCGATCCCACGAACTACAGATAGCTAATCCAGATTTCTCGAAGAGTTTCGCATCCAAAACTCAGCAATCGATGCCGTTCACAACTTCAGCGTCTTCGTCCAGACCGGATGACCGGTCGGCGTACATGAATCCGGCTTCGTTTGCCGAGATCAGTAAACAGCGAAACTACATCAGTGACCTGCAGCTCAAAAACCCCGCCTTTCCCGAAAGTGCAACTACCCATCCTAGTGTTGTGAAAGCCCCACCATCCAGCCTTCCACCAGGTCCAATGAGCCTGAACAACTACAGAATCGACCAGAAGCCATCGGTCCTGTCGAAACCGTACCCGCCGAGCCTGTACCGGCAGGAACCTCCCCCTGCCCAAGTACAGCTGGAAGAACCCAAAGCTCACGTCATTCACAAAGCTTCCAGCAATCCAGAAGCTTCAAAACCCTGGAATCCAGTTACGGAGTACAGTTCCAAGTCGTACAGTCAACAAAACGAACGGGATCGTTACCCTCATCAGTACCCCACTGGTCCCAAAGGTCCTCCACCGCTAACCAGTGAACCTCCTCCTCCTCAAGCTTATCCCGGATATCCACCGTATCCGGCTAGGAAAAGCAACGAGCCAACTCCTTCCTCCATTGCTGCAGCGCACCCTGGAGGAACCATCAAGCCGTACTATCCTGAACAGCAACAAACACCCCTCTCCAAATCGAAGGAGCTGGAATTCCGATTGGAGCAAAAGGAGAAGCAACTCCGCCAGGAGGGCACCATCATTACCCTCAAACCCAACGAAAATCGCCCCCCGGGCAACAATCCCCCGCCAGCGCAAAGTCCACACTATCCCCCTCAACCGTACCATGTTGCGCAAGCTCGATCGCCTTCCACGGAACGACGTAACGAGACTCAGGAAATCCTCTACCGTGACTTCAAGCTCAAACAGTCATACGAGATGCCACAGCAGTCTTCTATAAGGGTGCCACCACCCTCAAGACTCCAGGATGAACCTCGATCTCGTTCCACCCAGGAATCCGTCGTTCCCCGAGATCGATCACCATACGATCCGTACTATCGGGGAACTCAACCCCCCGCCCCAAACCCATCTTCGTCCAAGTACTATCCTCCACCCGAACATCACAAACAATCCGTAAGTCCTGCTTTGTCGGCTACTCCATCACCGACGCCGCTCCATGCCCAAAACCGGAGCCCCGTACCGATCCCGAGTAATAATAAACCCTCCCAACCCGGTCCCAGCGGTATGATGCACCCACCGTCGAACTGGCCAAACCAAAGCCGAGCGATCCCTAGCCCACACGGAAGCTCAACCTCTTCGCCCTTATCTGTACCAGCTTCAGTGAGTCCCAATCACTTCGCACATCAGATGAACTCGCCCAGTCCGGTGCATTCTTACGTACCTCTACCGGGATCGACTCACGGCTCCTACAAATCGCCTAGTCCCTCACCGTCTTCCTCATCGTCTTCGTATGGTGGCCCTGCACCTCATGGTATGCCCGCTAACAAGTACACTCAGTACTATCCAGCCGGAAATGGAGAACGCGTGGTAAGCATCGAAATCAACAAAGAGACCTTTAAACCTGGGCTCAAGGAGTTGGACTTCAACATGGAGCAAAAGTTTGCCGAAGTTTACCAGGCGCATCAACTCAAGGAGAAGCAAATAGCTGCGGCTGCAAGCAAGATTGTGGATCCCCATAGGTCACAAGCCTACCCTGGTGGTGCTGCCGGCGAGTACTCCTATCAGGCTAAACCACCATCGGACAGAAGACCTCAAGAGCCGTATCGGGATGAATACGGCAATATGTCTCGAACCGTATCACCGTCCGCACAGCATCTCCAACCAAACCGTTACCCATCGCAGGAGAATCTCAACCACTACGGACAGTATTATCAGCAACGTGCAGGTCCCGACATGGATGCACGTAAATCTGAACCTCAGCTGTACAAACCCTCAAGTCGAGATGCTTCGCCCGCTCAGCGATACGGCTCTAGCGAACAGCTGTACCACCACTCAAAACAACCGGTCTACCCACCACCGCAGTCTTCATCATCCAAAGCACCTCCTCAACATGCAATGTATCCCCCGGCGGGTAGTGAGCCCCCCGGTCCATCAGCTCAATACGGACCGGCTGGCAAGAGTCCTTATCCAAATTCTCCGTACGAGCGACCGCCGGAAAAGCCATCTGTGATAAGTAATACCTACAGTCAAGATCGAGGCAGCGCTCGCCCAGCATATCCCGAATCAAGACAACATCCTCCCATTGATGCTTACCCGGCCGCAGGTCATCCATACCAGCCGGCAGTACCGCCAGCAAAATCGGCATCCTCGCACCCCTACCCACATCACGCCAATCAACAACCGGTGCCTTCAACCAGCAGAGATCCTGCTGCTTGGCACTATCAGCAACAGCCTACACCACCTCAGCCAGGACCCTCGGGGTACAACCACGACCGACATCCGACAGTTGTGAGGGATGAACGTCAAAACCCCGTCATTCAACCGCCAGTTAACAAGAACATCCCTGTAAAGGTGATCGCAACGACTAACCCTACGCCAGCAGCACCATCTTCCACAACGATAGCACCAGCCACGAGCACTACCAAGCGAGAATCTCCATTGGATCTGTCGGTGAAAACTATCAAAACCAAAGCCGATTCCACAGGTTGCGATGACTACGGTCATAGCAGTAGAAGTCGAGATGCCGTGCCCAAAGTAAATTTCAATCCAAACTTCAAAAAGCATATTCCTAGTACGCCCGAACGGCAACCCCAGGACAGTCGGGTACCTCATCCTGTTCAACCATCGCAACCTTACCATCCTCATATGGCGAGGGAGCCTCAACCGATTCCTCAGCATCATCCACAAATGCCACAACCGGGATCTTCGTCCAAACCATCACCGGCTATGGCACCTCATCCCGATCATCGGCAAATGCCAGTGATGGGTTCGGTCATTCCTCCTGGTTACGATAAGAAGACGGATGCTTACATGTCTACCAACTATCGGGCCGTAGGTGGTCCCGCAGAGGTTCGAGATGCGCGATACGTTCAAGATAACCGCTATCCACCTCAACAAATGCTGCGACCCATTCATCCAGATCTTCGCGATCAACCAGCTCCGTACAGAGCACCACCTGGTTCCTATCCCCAACGGGTACCTCATGGGGCACCCGTACCTCCATATCAGTATCAAAACATGCCTTCCAAATCGGAACCCTACTATCCTAGTAACACAAAGGCTGGAGCTTCCGCATCAAGCAGAAGCGTGTACTACCCGCCACATGAAATAGCTCGGAGCAGTAAGCATCCTTCGGGCCTTCAGAAGATCTCCATGGACGATCCTCGTATTGAAGACCGCAAATTTGTCGAAAGCATGCTCAAAAAGCAGGCATCCCCATCGGCGGAGGTCATCGCTGACCTGCAGGCAGGGAAGTTCTCCACCAGAATACCTTCCACACTGGCACCAGCCAAGAAACGCCCCGCAGAAGCTATCCCGAAGACGTCTCCACCGAAGGTACCTCGCGTCGAAGAACAAAATCTCCATCGACCATACGAAAATATTTACCGCTACCCACCGCAACCAGGACCTGCAGCGCCACGGGACTATTACCCCGTCCCTATCAAACACGAACCAGCTAGTCCTCAACCTGCTGGAGTTTACTACGCTGACAAGCGATCCGAGGTTCCCTCGATAACTCGAGGTGTCTTGAACACGGCTCAAAGCCAACCTCCGTCATCTGCGGCGAGCCACTCGGTTCTTCAATCGAATATTCAACACAATACTCGTCCAATGGATTCTCATACATCGGTAATCACCAGTTATCATCCTCCGGGCAGCAAACCTGAAGTCCTCAGACCTCAGGATGAATCTCCACATCAGAAGGACTATCGTCATCATCAACAACAACAGCAACAACAACAACAACAACAACAACAACAACAACAGCAGCAGCAACAACAACAACAACAGCAACAACAACAGCATCAACAACAACAGCAACCACAACAACAGCCGTATGGTCAACCGGATGACCGGGTTTTTTATTCCACACCGGAGCCCTTTCGTCACGGCCACGGTGATTCAAAGTACTTTGGATCATCGTTAGAAAAAACCCCTTCTCACTCGATGAACCATCCTGAAACAACCATCAACCACCATCAACAACAACCGACCGTTGTGATGCAACCGCACATCCAGTACAGTGGTCATCAACCACCACAGCAAACAACTCCGCACTGCAAACGTCCCGAGGTTGTGCAAAGTCCTCCCCGGTCAGATTTCTACAGCTCCCCAAACCATGTCGCCCGAGCTCCCAGCATTGTGGAAAATTACCAGAGTAGATCATTCGAGAATGTACCTCGTTTGATCAGTGATGCTTCGAAGCCAAGTCCAGAAGACCCAACACCTCCACATTTGCACTCCAGCCAAGAATTGCTCAATCAAGCATTGCCTGCTCCATCACCACAGCATCGCGGTGTGGATCAATCCGTCATCTCCAAGCTCCGTACTAGCCTTGAGCAAAAGGAACGCTTTAACCAACTTCGTAAGCAGACTAGTTCGGAGATGTCCGAAGAGGACTCCAAACCACCGGAGGTGAATTCGTTTCCTCCCTCGCATTTTCGTTCAAAAGGAGCTATGAAGGCGTTCACTCCGATCCCAAATTTTGACATGCCAAACTGCACACCCCAATCGGCGCAACAACCCCCGCCACCGAAGGCCGAATCTTCACGACCACCCAGCCCGATCAAATCGGAACCGGTGGAGGTCCCGAAAGAACCTATCGAACCTCCAGCGGATATTGAAGGAGCCTCCGCGCTGGACATTCTCGATTGGGGCAGTGCATGTAACGAATTCGTTGAACAGCTGCAAACCGGCAAGAAGCGAGGTCGACGAAAACGGGGATCGGCTATCAAGCACGATCCGGATCAGCTGACGTCAATGCCAGATGAAGGCTTCAGGATCGATCTCCCCGGAACGACTAACAGTGCACTTTCGGAAATTCCTCAAGAGGTGCTCAAGTCCGCGACGCTGGAGATTAGAGATCCTGCAAGCTCGAGTGATGAGGACAAGCCTCTGCATCTACTGAAGCAGCTGTACAGTTCAACGGGGGAGCTAAAGGAAGAGCAGATGCATGCGATACGGAATTCTACGATGGAGAAGTTGTCGGAAAAGATTGCGAGGAATATGCGGGAGAAGCAGCGGTTGGAACAGGAACAGAAACACGAGGCAAAGCTAGGAAGATGCAGCAGTTCGGAAGATGAGTCCGATACGAAACGGCTCCGTCAGCGAACGAAGTTGCGAGCGAGGAAGCTAAGGAATAGGTTGAGTGTACCACTCAAATCATCCGATGTGAATACCGACGAAGAAGATGAAGAGGAAGAACATCAGGCGAGAGATTTGAGGAAGCGAAAGCACGTGGATCATACCTCGACGGAATCGGAAGCGGGGAGTAATGTGAAAAAAGTGAACCGTTGTCAGACACAGGTGAAGCAAGAGAATGGGTCTGACTTGAGTACGGACGAAGAAGATCCCAAGTCGAGGTCACCCGGGAAGAAGGATGCCACCAGACCGGAAGTGAAAAGAGAGAATGCAAAGCAAGCAGCTCATTCGGATAGCGAGTCAAACGATGTAAAGACGAAGGATTCAGTGGGTGGTAAGAAAAACTGTGAAGCGGATGATGCATCCAGTGGGAATGAGTCTGAGAGGAATGAGAAGGGCGCAAAGAAAAGTGGTTCAAGAAAGTCTGTGAAACCAAGGACTACGTCCAGGTCGAGAGTGGTGGAAGAGTCTTCGGAAAGTGAAGAAGAGACGATGACCCGCTCCAGGAGCAAGCTGGAGATGGAGAAGCGACGGTCCAACAGCAAAGTACTGCGAAACGATAAGATCGTGGGAAATTTTGTGAGGGAAAGGAAGAAGTCGGAGAACGTCACACCTCAGAAAGGGAGGAAAGGAGCGGTAAATGTGAAGTTGGAGGCAAGTAAGAAGAGAATTCTGGACAGCGATTCGGACTGCAAAACGGTTAGTGGTAGGAAGCGTGCGAGGAAGACTTCGAAACTGCAGACAACTTCCCCATCGGAGAGTTCTGAGGAAAGTGACGTGGAAACTGTGTCGGAGCGCTTGCGTTCCAGGAAACCGAAGTATTCGGAAACATCAGCGCCTTCGTCTGCTTCGAAACGAGGCAACAGCCAAGACAACCGAACGCCGTCGAAAGGAGTGGACAAGAAGAACATCAAACCGGAGCAACCGAAAAAGCGAGGACGTCAACCGAAGAAGACTTCACAGGATTGTGCGTCCGAGAATACCAGTGAGAACTTTTACCCTGGATGGGAGAAAGAATTATACGAGTTCAAACGATCGCTGAAGGTCCCTCCGGAGTTAATCACGATCGGAGGTCGTCGCTATGTGCATCGTATATCGACGTCCCTGCCGGATCTGGAATCACATCACAGCGACGAGTCGGAAACTTTCTCGGAGATTGTAAAAAAGATCACCCAGAACGAAACTTCCACGGGTAAGAAGATCAAAACCAAGGCCGCTTCCAAGCAATGTCATAAGAATAACCACATGACCAAGGAGCAACAGGCAGAGGAAAAGAAGATTGATGGGAATAAAAAGTTCACGTCGATCATCGAGATTCTGCATGAGCGAATGCTGCGACATGTTAAACTAGCGAAGGCTCGGAAGGCAAAAGGTAAGGATGATAAAGAGGCTTTGAAACCTAAGCAGGAATTTGAGCTGCTTCCAACGCCCGGGGCCGAGAGTGAAGCCCTGTTCAACCGGAAGAAGAAGTCTCTTTTTGATACGGCAATCTTCAAATCCCGAACCCGTACAGAGCAGAAGGTGATGCAGAGCAAAGAGATAATTCGGGAGGTTTTTGGAGGTGACGATGAACGACCTCAGTCGGCTCCACCGTTAGCTTGCGTCCAGGAAGTGAAGAACGTGACGTACGACGAGATGTACAATGAAATGCTGACGAAGAGCCACGACGTAGCTACATTTCTTGCTCAGAAGAAAGCACAAGAAGCCGTTGCATCGAGCTCAGGTCTATCCGGATCGGCAGTGAAGATTAAGATCGAAGATCTGGACGACGAAACTCAAGACAGTGTGCTGAAGGATTCCGAGCGGATAACCGAGGAGGGCGATACGCCTTCGGTTGTGTCCGAACGGGACCTTGCGACACCGGTGTCGTTCAAAGGAAGCGTAAAGAAGAAGACTCACAAGAGCCGCCGGAAAGGGAGTTCTGGCTTCGACTACATCCGCAAGAAGAAGAAACCCGTGGTGAATAATGGAGAACACAGTACTCCGGCGGTACCTAAAAAGAAGGTGGTGTCGGTTTTTGACAATCTGGAAACGAAGGACGAATCGCACATCAACAAGGAGATCCGGAGTTGGGTGCTGAACAAGGGTGTAGGGGAGAGTGTTATGCATAAGGCAGCCAGGCTTGGATACACGGTAAGTTCTATTATGCATTATTTAACTGACTGATTAGGTACTAATTAAGTTTTCCCACAGGACGTGATTGTCTATTGCCTGGAACGTTTGGAGATGGATCCGGACATGAAGGACAATGCAGGTTACACTCCGCTGCATGAGGCTTGTGCCAAAGGTCACCTGGACATTTGCCACTATTTGCTGCAATACGGGGCAAGCCATTCGGAGACGGCTCTGTCCGGGATCCGACCGCTTCACGAAGCCGTGGAGAACTCCTTCATCGAGGTTGTCCGGCTGTTGTTGGCATTCGGTGCCGATCCAATGTTGGCAACCTACGCCGGTCAGACACCGATTCAGCTGGCAGAGAACAACGAGATGGCACTGTTTCTGGAGAATCACCTGTACGACATCCAGAGCACCAGTCCGGTTAAGACCGGTTGGAAGCTGGACGGACCATGGAAGACTCACGGTAGGAGTTGTACCTTCATTACTTTGGACGTAATATTAACGATTTGCATTCTATTACAGATCCCGAGGAAAGTGGTTGCGATATCCTGGTAGATATTCCAGGTTTCTCCGATGACGATAATCTGCAGAACAGCTCCAACATTACCGAGCGTTCCATGTTAAGCAACTCAACGTACTCAACCGATACGCTGGACAGCAGCAGGCCACCATCGCTATATCTTCCACCTCCGCCACCACCGCTGGCCCCACCGGCACTGCCGCCACCGCACGTTCAGCAACCGATCCCAAAAAAGTGCGATTCTAACTCCAACATCATGAACTTTGAAGTCAAGATGGAGCAGGAATTGAAGTACAAGGATTGCGCCGTAGTTCTTAACGACATCCACGATCAAAACGAACCTAGATGTACCGTCGGCAACAACAACATCATCACTAACAACAACAACAACAATAACAACAACAATGGATCTTCCACGTACGTCAACGGACAGCTGCAGGCGGCATCAACCACAGTGGAGGTCAAGACGGAGCCGGTGGAAGATTGCATTCCCCACACTAACGGGTGTCGATCGTTCGAGGAAAGCGATGAAGAGGATAACGACGACAACGACCAGGGCCAGGATCAGGATGACGACGACGACGACGACGACGGGGAGTTTGTGTTTGAGTACGAGGAAGCCGAACGGCCCCTGCCTCCGTTGTATCTGCTGAAGGACGAGGCCGCCGGGGAAAAGTGGGTCCTGATGTCGGATTTGTGCAACTTTTTGAAGCTCAAGTCCAAGGAAGCCGTTTTGAGACAGGTGAGTGTTTGCTAGCTTGACTGAGCGGTTTGTGTGGCATTTTGGAAAATTGATGAAGTTTCTATATTGGCGTTCAGACTATGCAGGGTCAATGCACAGTCGGCCCGGAATGAAATCTAGCGGGGACAAAAAAAAAACGCTCTAGGATTGCATCCAATTGAGTTGACGTCTTCAGCAAAGTTTCTTAGCTTAGTTAGAACTACAATTTAATGCATTGAAATAGTTAATGTTTCGCACGCTAGAGGTTTGCTGTCTTCGGTAAGGTTGTAGAACGTAATATTTTATGAAAAGTTGCCGAAGACATAAAATCTGTTTATCCTCAAAAAATGCGATACACGAAGTTTTGTAAAATAGGGCTGAAATTTACGTTTTTTTATTATTATTTTTTGTGAAATCTTTCAGATGAACATTTTTATCATTTTTCTTTGATCGGTACTGGTGAATCCAATCTTTTCCAGAACAAAACTATGTTTTTAGCATTCTTAAAAAGCTTTATAAAATTAGGTAACGCAAATTTGATTGGACAACTGAGTAGCTTGATGCAACTCTGGTTGTCCTCAAAAAAGCATGCAGGCTTTTCCATCGGTTCATCAAAATCTCGCATTAACTTCTGCAGCTATAGTAACTCCTGGCAGCATTCAGCCAGTGATATGTATTTAGCCCCGGTTTAAGATAGTTCCACACAATGCTGCTTGGAGCAGGTATCCAGAGTTTGACTTCCTGCCAGTAACGTTTCCGGCCCAGTCGGCAGCGGCAAAGCCTTCCAGTCCTCCAACTTTACCTCCCAGTTCCAGCTGCAGACCACTAGTTGCTTTCAGATATCGTATAGTCCTTTTCGCTTCTGTCCACTCTGTAATCGTCGGGTTGCTGACGCAGCGTCCAAGTATTGAAGCGGTGATTCCAATGTTGGATCGTGTATTGACGGATAGATAAAGCAGACCGTCAACAAGACTCTGATATTTATCGTTAGTCGTTAGCCTTTCCGCCTACTCCTTCTGCTGAACATATCCCGGATCCATTGGAATGCGCTATCCTTTAGCATCTTCCAATCCGAATCTTGCAGTCATCTTGTCGATGTAAATCTTCTGATTCAAACAGAATCCCTTCTCAGATCTGGTAACTTGAATCCCCAAGAAATTCTTCACATATCCTAAGGTTGTCAACTGAAAATTGCTGCTCAACGAATCCATCAATTATAACTAATTATAACGAACATAAAGGCAACTTCCGAAGGCTTGAACCCCATCCGCTTTAGAGTCTCATCCAGCTTACGGTTCCACATGCGGGCCGACTGTTTCAATCCATCTAAAGTCTTGCGAAGCAAACAAGCTTGACGTAGCTTGACGAGATCCCAAGTGTTGTTGTCGTGGACCGATTTCAACTCGTCCTTCATAGCGGCCATCCACTGCGCATTTTCAGCACCCGTTGTAGCTTCCTTGTAACTACGCGGCTCGTTAGATTGTAGACAGACAAACTTACCACTGGTCGCGAAACGTTCCGACAGAACACGCTTGTTCATCCGCATAGTACGTCGCACTTCTCCGCTGGATTGCTCATCCTCACCTTCACTAAGCTCCTCCTGAACCGAATCACTGTCGTATTCCTCCGAACGTTCGTCGTCAACGTGAGCATCTTCATACGTGGTGGATTCCGAGTCATCCTCAAATCCTAAGATATCTTCCTCTTCTTCATCCGATACAATTTCTTCTCCTGGCGGGCGCATTATACGGCTGACATTCGACACTCCCGAATACGCATGAAAGTGGTGGTAGCTCCAAAAACGCGTCGTCTTCGAACTGATTTCCATTGCTCGAACCTTTCACTTTTCTCGGAGGAAGGAATTTTGCATTACGACTGAATACAATTTTGTTAGTGCTCGTGTTTACGAACCGCCACGGCTTATGTTGGCGATGAATACCCGATAAAGATCATTTTCAGAAGACATACACACGAAAACTTGCACCTTTCCGAAATCTGGTTTCCTGCCGTGCCGCACTTCGAATGGCGTTAACTCGGTTACTGCTTCGTGCTAACATATCCCAGCTCGACGACTCCTCTTTCTAGCACATCTTTGACGAAATGATACCAGATGTCTAGATGTTTGGTTCTGGGATTGTAGTCTTGATTACGTGCGATACAGATGGCTGATTGATTGTCACACCGGATCGAAATCCCCTGAATACCAAAAATCTGTGACTGGAAATGGTGCCACCATAATGCTTCCTGGGTAGTGCGGGAAAGCGCGATGTATTCCGCTTCGCATGTGGATAGCGCCACTGTTGGTTGTCGCTTAACATTCCAAGACACCGCTCCTCGCATGAACGTGAAAACATAACCGGTTGTAGATTTCCTGGAATCCGGATCTCCTCCCCAATCGGCATCTGTGTAGCCAACAAAATCCTCACAGTGTTCCTTTGAGTATGTAACTAGTAACTCGCAGGTACCGGATGATGCGTTTGACAGTATTCCAATGGCTCATGGTCCGGGATTGCTGTTAAATTGACTAACTTGGTTGGCCGCAAAACTGATGTCTGGCCGCGTCGCCTGCGCCAGATAAGTGAAACAGCCAACTGCCTCCTGGTAAGGAACCTGCTTCATTTCGATGATCTCTTCTTGCGTCGTCGGTGCCATAGACTTATCCGGTTTGACACAAGCTTCCGCTGGTGTGGAGACTGGATTACAGTTCGCCAGATTGAACCGTCGCAAAATGCTGTCGATTTAGTGCTCCTGATCTACCCACAGCTTTCCGTTCTTCCTATCTCGTGTGATTTTCAATCCCAGGCAGAAAGTCGCTTCGCCATCTTCCGCTTTAACTTGGCATCGTTCGTGAAGATTAAGAAATAGTCGACATAGATGGTGACGAAAATCATTTTTTCACCGTCGATCCGAAAGTACAGGCATGGATCAACTTTGGACCACTCCAGTCCAAACTCCTTCAGCGCTTCATCCAGCTGGTTGTTCCACACACGGTTGGATTGTTTGAGGCCATATATTACTTTTCGCAAAAGACAGACTTCCTTCGAATTACCGGCAAACCCTTCCGGTAGGTTCATATAGATAACTTCATCCGTTAGCTTCCCTTGAAGGAACGCGGTAACAGCATCCATCTGCTCCACATCGAAGTCGTGTTTTGAAGATCCACTTGTTCGGAATAGGCTTACGATCGCTTGGAAGGTTCGTCTACTCCCACGTCTCGTTTTCTTTCAAAGCAGCGATTTCTTCATGCATGGCCGCTGTTCGCGGTCCGGTCCATTGATCGCTTCCTTGTAGCTTTCGGGGTCATCAGACGGCATCCCAGATTGTATCGCTGGGGTGAAACAACTTTACCAGTAAACGAACTATAAGTAACATAATCGGAATACTTGCCTGGAAATCGACTCTCCCGACCACTGTGCCTAAACCCTTGCTCTTCAGCTGGTCGATCAGTTTGCAGCGGGAGCGCAGGCTCGTTGTCGGCATCCTCGCTGGATGTCACGCTTGACCGGATCATATACCCGATATCCCTTGACATCGGCGGAGTATCCAACGAAAACTGCTTTTTGGGATTTTGTGTCGAACTTCGTCCTCTTTTGTTTCGGTACGTGGACCAGTACTAACGATCCGAAAATTCGCAAATGTCTCAGATCTGGCTTCTGACCGGTCCATGCTTCCTCCGGTGTCATCTCAAGGGACTTCGTTGGACTCCTGTTTACGAGGTACGCCGTTGAAACCGCCTCGGCCCAAAATTCCTTCTGGAGACCTGAATCTTTCTTCTTCTTCTTCTTCTTCGCATTTCAAGCTTATTGCATATCGCATATTGGCTTATTGCGTGCTCTCAACTTGGTGTTCTTGATGCACTTCCACAGTTATTAATTGAGAGCTTTCGATGCCTGTACCATTTGTGCATTGGTATAATTGTGTGGCAAGTCCAATCATACTTCTATGCCCAGGAAAGTCGAGAAATTTTCCAACCCGAAAAATTCCTAGACCGGACCGGAAATCGAACCCAGCCACCTCCAGCATGGTCTTGCTTTGTAGCTGTGCCTTTACCGATTGAGCTAAGGGAGGCCCTGAATCGTTCAGCATGCTTCTGGCCTTCTCGATGAGCGGCCGGTTCATCCGTTCCGCTACACCGTTTTGCTGAGGTGTGTACGGACAAGTCTTTTGGTGACGCACTCCATCCCTCTCCATGCTTCCTTCCCATTGTCCGTCCTCAGAACTTTCAGCTTCCGCCGGTCTGCCTTTCGGCCATGCACTTGAACTTCATGTATGCTTCGAATACTTCATTTTTCCTGTCCAGAAAATACAGGAAGACCTTTCGACTAGCATCGTCGATGAACGTCACGATGAAACGACTTCCACCTAGTGAAGGGATCTCGATTGAGAAATCCATCTTAATATCCTGCGCGCCTGGTGGCAGGAATAAGCACTAACCGACGATGATAAATCTGTGACATCCCTTGAAAATTTCATTGATTGTTTGCAAAATTATTTAATTTCAATATAATTTCATACAAATTTCTTGTCAGTATGGATGAATCTTGTACAAAATGCATAAAACTATTTTGTAATGTATTGTTCTTAAATAAAAAGCTACTTCAAGACTTATAAATTACTGAAAACATATTAAGGTTTGAAATCATCTGTCGATTAAACAGCAGACAAAGTTGGTCGACTAAATCAATCGACGAAAAACTATTAAATAGGCCGATTGCTCGGTGTAGCACCAGACGAAAAACGATTTAATCTGCTGATTAATACACCGACTGAAATTAATTTTTAAGTGGCAATACTCGATGAACATTTCAAATGGTCCTATCTGCTTTGATCGATTCTCTTCATCGACTTTCTCTTTCGTTAATAACTAAGCTGTAAAACCTTTCCCTGTTGTATTTGACGTTTTGTACGCTAGATAAGAACCTCCTTTATCAAACTATGTGGTAGAATTAGCGCGAAATCTGTTTGCATAGCAGTCGTTATGAAAAGAGAAAGTCGATGAAGAGAATCGATCAAAGCAGATAGGACTATTTGAAATGTTCATCGAGAATAGATTTAGTTGGTGGACGAATCGGGTGATTTGGATGATGCTTGTTTATTTGGAAGATATTTTCAAAACAAAGCACGATAAAATTCAGCATTATATACCATTATTACGAGTACTACTTTTTTGCTCGGATCATGTTTTGACTTCCACAGAAACTCGCTAGAATAAATAGAAAATAATAGGTTTTTGGTTGAAATTTCAAAAATGTATTCAGTTTGACACATTATTTCGGACCTATCACCGCTGCGATTGCAGCGCCACGGTGGCCGATTGAAACTTGGATTTGTCAATAGATCTGGGAATGGATGTGATGTGAGGGGTGTTAAAAAGTTTCAGAGGGATACGAGTCTGAACGCGAAAAGTATATTAGGTGTAAAAAGAAGATAAAAATTAGCTGGAAGGCAGCGTTTATAAATTACGTAACGCTTATAGGGGGAGAGGGGGTCACCTTTATCGTTACGAATTATTACATAGGAGAGGAGGACTAATGATTGTTAAGTTTGAAAATACAGGTAATTAGTGATGACATTTTTTTTTTATCTTGCTTTCAAAATGCATATCTAGAGTAACATTTGAAATGGGCCTATGTTCAAAACGTAAACAAATCGGGTTTTGATATCATTCTTTAGCACCGCTTAATTGCCACTAACCGTGTAGGAAAATTCCGCATAATCGGTAAAAATCATTAAAAGTAACTCGATTTTCGAAACGGCCGATCAACGAAATTTTTCGATTCATTAATAGGCCCACACGCTAAAACCATAGAGGTAACTATAAGAGTAGAAGGTCCCGAAATAACGTGCTTAACTTTTTGGCTCAGCTCTGGTACTCTCTTCGGTCCCAAGCTAATCGATTCACCCCTCGAAACATAGGAAAAACCAATAACCCCTCATTTTATCTGTCAAACTTTCATAGCAAATCAACACAAACATTGCGTAGTACTAGAATTTCGACTAGAATGGGATACGTTAATCGTTTGCTTGGGACCAATAGGCTAGTCAAGTAGTGAGCCAATTTAAAATCGTTAGTTTCGTATTGATTGTTGCTAAAACGGCCAGCCATTCATTTATTTCATTTCATTGATAAGCCTAGTGACGTAGAAGGGCCGATGAATGAAAATTTTCAAACCAAAGTTAGACCCTACTGGTTTGTGGCAGGGCCGATGATTTGTTTTGAATTTATTTGACGTTGCGAAAAGGCTTAGCAATGGGCGTACCATTCGTGATGACAAGCACAACGGCTTAACAAAAAGGGCCTATCCATTGAAAGATTCTTAAAAAAGACTTATTAATTTATGAAATTAAATTGTTATCGATTTTCATATATTTTTGAAAGTTTGTAGCATATTTTGCTTGGTTGTTTACTGATATACAGTTACTATTGTTATTGTGAACAATAAAAATGTTTAAAATACTTCAATTTACTTAAATATGAATTGAATAGTGGCGGAAAAATTTAAATTCATTTTCTGGTTTGTTTACGTTTTTGTCATAGGCCCACTTCAAATGTTACTCTAGATATGTTTTTATTTTTATGTCTTGAGATTTTTGCTATTCTTAAACTTTTGAAAAGCAGGTACGCTGATATTTTGTTTTTATTTTGAAAATTAATAATATAATCACCGACAAACCGACATGACACTTAATTCTGACCTATGCCCGAAAATCGTAAACGGCCGATTTAAATGTGCAGTGATGCGAACTGTCAAAACCATAGGATTTTTTGATCTACATAAAAAAAAAAATTTCCAGAATAGATCAGACACGAACCAAATCATAACTTTTGCATGCGGGTTCACGACTTAGCTAAATATTTCCCGCGAACACGGAGCCAGATGTCAGTACTGTACTTTGGTCAAAATTTTTATTGTTTTTGCTATGGTCATTCATGTCGGTTTGTCGGTGATATAATTACCTAGAAATACAAAAAGGCATAACGAAATCAAAAATTAATTAAATGGTGGTTTTTAGAGCGTCACGGAATAAATAGGGGGGGATAATTTTCAGTGTTACGTTTTGAAGGGGGGGGGGGTCAAAAATATTTATTTTTATCGTTACGTAATTAATGGTCACCGCCCAACAATATTACCCAAAGCTCACAGCTCAAGTGCAGAAAACGGTTCCGTACCGAATAGGTCAAAACTGTACTGTAGAAGGAACGGGTGGGGGCGATGGATCACTAGGATCCGGTTAATATTCCCAGCTGACGGATTTGGATTCGAAATATTCTCGAACAGAAACTCCATTAGCCGGTGAGTGTCTTCCTTCGCCATTAGCTCTTTCTTCTCCGAACCCTTGCTTGACCAACAGCAGCGACGAGTACAACTTGGGCCGAGTGGAAAAAATGACTTGAATTCCTTTTCCACCTGTTTGTCGTAGGGGGTTCGATTGGTGATGCTTTTCCCGGGCCTAGAATCAGCAGTTCGAACAAAATCAACAGTTGCTTCGTGCCTGTTCGACAACTTCCATGCTACAACAAAGAGACACCTGGGCTCTTATCCGTCGAATTCGATCGGTTTGAGTCCGGGAAATGGATGTGCGTTGCCGTCTTTTCCGTGATGCACTTGATGTGTTTGCCCCCGAGACCGATCATGACCAACTGACATACGTGGTGATTGTTGAAAACTGACAGTAACTGGCAGAGTGCTTCGCGGTCTACCTGAAAACTTCGGAAAACTGCACGGCATGCTTGACAATTTGTGTGCATGCAGAAGGGATAAGTTGGGAATAGAAAGAATAGATAGGATGGATTTAAATTATGTGCACGTTGAAAATTTTATGAGAGGTTTGAGTAAAATGGGATAATCCTGAAGTGTCGTTCCCCCTGGGTGGTTCCTATTATCATTAAAATCAAAAATCTATCTTTTTTGTTTACATTCTTCGGCAAAGTTATAGCTGAGCTAATTCCAAGCAATTTTGTAGAAAATAACTTTTTTTTATATCTTAAATTGGCCGATTTAGAGCTATTTTCTTAAATTGAGTTAGGGTGGCTCTTAAAAAAAAAACAGTTTTTTTGCTCTAGTTTTCTTATTTAGAATTTCTCAGCAAAGGTGTCTTCAAATAACTTTTAGATCTTAAGAAGGCGCAAATTTTTGCTGCACAAAGCTTGTCAATATCTTTCGCCGATCAAGAGTTATTGACATTTTTACACTAAAAATATGCACTTTTCAAATGTTAATATATATAATATATATATATGTTGCTACGTACGTTGCTTAGGTACTAGTATATAAGGCAATATATAGGTTACTTCGATCCAAGGGGTAAGTCACTCAGCACATTGTACCGAAATTAGATTCGGCACAGCTTGGGCACATCCATCGGTACAGCTTCGGTACATCTCGTAGGCATTGGATTGTTGTAAATAAAATGGGAGCACTGCTGGACAACTGTCATTAAAGTTGTTCACAACATTACGTGCTGTTTAACTGTATATTCAGGTACATCCTCTAATAGAATATACCAGAGGAACTCAGAACAGTAGTTCACTTCTCGGTTCACTTATAGATCTAAATTGTGAAATGGTGGTTCTAGAGTGGGCTCAATAGAAAAAGGCAGTTAATCAGACCCCATTAGCACCCTTAATTCAAATAATGCTGCAAACACACAAAACATATTAAAGAAGTCATATTCATCATCCTCTATAGTCGGTCTCTCTTTTTATGGGACAGACCTGTTGGTCCATATTTGAAATAATCGGTCTCCAACAATGTTCCGCGCCGGTTCCAACTCTTTTCGGCCGCTCATAGACCGTTGATTTTCCCATCACGAAAGGCTAGGTTTCTGGTTTACCTTTGAGAGCATTATAACACCCTAAAACACAGGACTTTAATTATCCTATGAACACATTCCGCACACCCGCCACTTCCCGCGTCATTCTCAATCCAATTTCAAACCAAAAACATTCAAGGTGTCAGAAATACCGGGTTGCCGGGATGCGTATTTTACAAACAATCGCAGCTTCTCTATGACCGGCACAATTGGCACACCTGCGGCACAATAGCGGCACACTGACTAAAAAGATGACCCAAGATTGATGTGCGGAGTGACCTACCCCTTGCATCGATCTCTTCTAACAATTTCGTTACTACGTGCGTAGAAAATTGTCCATACACAATTTTTAAAATTTTGTATGGACCGTGGATAATTTGCCAAGCCCTAAATTGTCTACGTAGTTAATGAACAGCCCCTAAGAAATAATGCAAAATAAAAATAAGAATAAGAAGTTTTTCATATTTCTTCGTCAAATTCTCCATCAAGTTTCTTTAACATCCTTCTGACCTCCCCCCCCCCCCACTTTTCATTAAGATTCCTCCAAATTCAGCTTGAATTTCCTCTTAAAAATCGTTACCTTTATAAATACTTACCTGGCATTCCACTTTCCAATCTCTTTTCCAGATCTGCTCCAGCACAACCCCAATAGCTTCCAGTAACCAAACCAACAACAACACAACGACCACCACCACCACCACGAGCGCCACCACCAATGTAACCAACGGAACCAACGGTACCAACCGGGAAATGATCCGGGAGCTCAAGCTCGACGACTTCCTATCGCAGTCCAGCTGCCTGCAGTTACTGTACGCCGGCGAGAAGCTCAACATCAACTCCAACAAGGTCGTGCTGGTCAAGTACAACGATAACGTCCGCAATCTGCTCCAGGTCCAAACGGTGGTCACCAAAATCTAGAAATTCGGGCAGAAACCAGACGGCAGAAGAAGTATGACTGATATTTAGAGAACGATGGGGGATGGGGGAGGGGTTAGAAAGGAACCGTAATAAACGAACAAGAGAATATGCCTTAAAATACGTAGGGGGACGGTGAGGAGAGAAAGAAGTGATTTTTTTTTTCGAGTAGAGAATCTGGAAACCGGAAAGACTTACATTGAAACAAAAATTGGCAAACGGCTAGATCAAAGAATCAGTTTGAAGAAAACGGAACAAAACTTGCTCAGGTTACACGATAGGGACAGGAGGGAAATGTTGTTTTTTTTCTATTGTTTACCAGTGCTTTTTACGAACAAATTTTCGATTGGCAGCTTGACCGCCGCCGCCGTCGTCCATTAGTAAGCCCTGATTTCGATTGTTCGATTACGAAGGAACAGCAAAAAAACAAACTAATAGAAACCCAAACTGGAGACTGAGTAGAAGTAAAAACACACTCAAGCAAAACCAGAAACAATAGAAGACTAACAGGAAACAACAACACTTACCAAACCCGGAAAGACGGAACTCGCAAACCCGTGTGCCTTCCGTATACGTGTGTGGCAACTTTTTGTTTGTTTGTTTGTTTCGTCGACTGTCCGTCTGTCGCCTAGCAACATTCGAGCAAAACATCACACTCACACAATCGTACTTTAATATTTTTTGTTTCGTTGCTTGTTGACAGCAGCATTTGTTTGTTTTTATTTTATGTGTTTTCATCCCAAACATATGAGATTCGACAGTAATTTTATGCTACAATATTGTTCATAATTTTTGAGGCGAAAACGATCGTTTTCTGTTCTGTACTTTTAAATTTTAGTTAGAAAATCAGTTTCCATTAACTTGTAAGTGTTAGTTTTGATGATTGTGCATATGCGGAACTGTTCTGTTTTTTTTTTAGTGTGAATGTCGGCTTGCAGAAAAATATTTATTTTTAGTTCAAATTTGCTTGTTTTTAGTTAACCCATACATTTTGTTTTAAATAGTATTATTGTAGCAAACAGGTGTATTTTATGTTTCAATGTTAAATATAAACCGCACTCTCAATTGTTTCCCAACACCGCTTATTTAACTAGAAAAAAAACAACTGAAGTGTAGACTCGACTTTAGGAATGGTTGGAGCCAATCCAACCGAAACTGTAACTACTACTATTATGCTATTATATTTGTGCACTAAGTGCAGAAACCTAACGGAATAAGATTGAAGGAAACTTTAAACAAATTCTACACACTCTGATTGTTATCAGTTTACAAGTTCATTGGACATCCGTGCAGCAGCTGTATAGAATAAAATTCGCTAGAGTAGATAAGTTGTAAACTGTATTCTTTTTTTTTTTTGGAAAGCTAATCAGCGGCTCTTCAGCAGCGGGATGGGAATCAAATGCTAGTTTTTAACTCGATGAAGCAACACAGTGTACTCAAAAATCAAAACGGAGAAAGCAGCGAGCGGGGAATGATGGTTTCATAGAGTGAAGCAGCATAAAATCTGTAGCAGATAGGAAAATGGTGAGGGGGTTAAGTAACATTTAGGAACCAACGTACGGCTGGAGAAACAGAGCGAGAGTGATTCTCACTTACGGAAAGTTTTGTGCAATCGGCTTAAAATGAAATTTGATTCTTACGATTATGAAATAAATTTTTGATTATTATTTTGTATTGATATAATTTAGTAAAAATCAAAGTATGTCGATATGTAGCGGAGAAGAGAGAAGAAAAAAAGAAACAAACAAACCAATTATGGGCTAACATAGGGCAAAAAGGTGAATATACTGCATACATTGTATAAATGATTTAAGTAAGATTTAGGAAAAAAGAAAAACAAGGAAATGTGATTTTCGCTAAATATACAACACTTATATTGAAAGGAAATAAAAAAAAAACAATATGACTATGTGAGACAAGCAGACGTAAGAAAACAGAAAAAGTATATTGCTATGCAGAGTAGAATAAAACTCAAAATTAATGATGAATATAACAGTATGGTGGTTGCGATTGATTGATCCGAAAATTATTGAACTGACTCGACTCGACTATCAAATACAGGTATATACAATTTACCTGTATGTCGCTGTTGAAGCGGCTTCCGACGTGACTGGTAGCATTGCAAAGAGCTGTCGAAAGTGCCAACAATCTTAAAGTCTTAAAGTAAAATTAGGAAGAAGGTTCGGAAGTTGGATACGAGAAAATCATAACTGGTTTAATCCAACTATCGAATCCATACTAACAACAATCAAAGCCTGAATGTCGCGTACCTACTGCAGAAATCTGACATGTCCAAACTAGCGAAATCCAGTTTTTACTTATAAAAATGGCATCAAGATAGGCTTATAACACAAACGAAGTGACAGACGACTAAGTGGCGAAGAAATCAATTAAAATAATGAGTTTCGCTGTAGTAGAATATTTCTTAGAAGTTTGTGGCATCAGCCACCAGATGGGCTAGTAGACTGATCGAAGTGTGCTCTGCTTCAAAACGGACGCGAAAAAATTCTGCTGTCAAATTGCTCGTATATTATGTTTTCGTCGCGGTTTTCCAAATTTTATCTGAAGATGATTTGCCAGTTTTGAAAATCGATAAGTTTTTTGAGAATAGTTTTTCTTTTTATGGCCGAAAGAAGGTTTTTTTTTCCAAGCGCATTTATGACCGGTATTCCGATTACAAGTAGAGTCAGATTCGAAAAACAAATTAGAATCCAATTTTGTGCAAGATTAGCTTGTGAGACCACCAAAGTTCCGCTTTATTCAACCAGTTTTACCACTATTTGATCCGGAAAACAACCAGCAAAATGGAGCGGCTGTTCGGTAAGAAAATGTCTCCGGACGAGATGATGCGCAAGAAACAGCGGGCTCTGAATAAAGCGATGCGGGATTTGGAACGGGAGAAGATGAAAATGGAACAGCAGGAAAAGAAGACCATCGCCGACATCAAAAAGCTCTTCTTTCCTTTATTTAACGTCGGTCTCTGTTCCGCAATCTAGTGCCAATCACCGACGGACATCGATTGCCATCCATTGACGGCAATCGAATGTGCAGGAAGGCAGCTTCCACACCTGCGTAGGATATCGCACCCATTCAACACACATGGGCCGGGACCAACGGCTTTACTTCCCTTCCGAAGGAAGACGTGACCAGATATTTGTATGCCTCAGAAAAATCCCACCGACCTCGGCTGGGATTGAACCCAGACCCATTGGGATGTTAGAAAGCAGTCACGCTTACCACTACACCACCGGCGCCAGCTACATCAAAAAGCTGGCTAAAGAAAATCAGATGGATGCGGTCAAGATTATGGCTAAGGATCTGGAACTAAGGAACTGTGCGGTATCAATACCCCTCGAGTAGAGATGGTAGCCGTTAGCTACCTATCGCAGAGCCCCTCGGCTTTCAGGCACGGCAAGCGATAACCGTTTGGCCCGTTATACGACGAGCAATAGCAAGCATCGCCATCGATCTAGCAAATCCTCATCAGATAGCCACAGGGTACGGACGCACAGGTAAGTAGCTCCAGCTACAACGGTATAGCCGCGCATCGCGGCCAAAGGCTAAAACTCCACATTGGCGATCCTGCCAGGAGCTTTCTGGAATTGTTTTGATCATTTAGAAGGCGCGTCTAGAAGACCGCCGGAACATGATTTGTGGTTAGGGATACCACAAGGCGCGTCTAATAGACCGCCGGAACATGATTTGTGGTTATGGAAACCACGAGGCGCGTCTAGAAGACCGCCGGAACATGATTTGTGGTTATGGAAACCACGAGGCGCGTCTAAAAGACCGCCGGAACATGATTTGTGGTTAGGGATACCTCAATGTGCGTCTAGAAGACCACCAGAATGAGGTTATGGGTAGAAACGCCACAAGGGGTGTAAAAAGCACCGAAGAACGTTTGTCGATTATACAAATCGCAAAATGCGACTGGAAGACCACCGGAGTTCTAGTTGGAAAATGCTTTCCAAATGCGCCTTCTATCATGTTTTTTTTTCTTATCAGAAATACGGGCGGATACCATACCATTTGATGAATGCCCAGAATTGAACCTTGACAAAAATTAAAATAAGAGAAAATTCCGTGAAATAAAATATATATTGTCAAGCTAGCCCATGTCAATTAATAATGGACTAAAGCATTTTCTTTTCTTCGCCTAGTTGAACATCATGTCAAACGACGGAAGATACGTGCGAGCGCCGATCGATGACGACAATCAGGAAGAACTAACTCCCATTGTCGATTATTCGGATGATAGCGTAATGGACGAGCTGAACGACGGAAGTTTGGATTGTGCGGATGAGCTGGAGGTGGCGGCTCACGAAACAGTAGCGACGGAAATTCCAACGCTTCACAGCGATGACGTTAATAGCAGACTGCGAAAGCTAGAGAAGATGATTGAGAACATCGCTAAACAACGCCGATTTGAGACCCCAATGGTAGAACAGTGTGGCGAAAACAATAGGTTAGGTCCGGACTCATCTTCGGTTCCTGGGTATATCGACAAAGGAAGCAACATCCGTTGGGACCTCATCCCAAAATTCGCAAAAGATATCCCATCAAACAAATTATGGGAGAATTGGCAAAGCTTCATCGAAAATTTCGAGATTGTGGCATCCTTGTCAACATTTGGATGTCCCTCAGTCCGTGCCAAACTCCTATACCTGACAATTGGTAAGAACCTTCAGGACATTATAAACGCAGCGAATCTGCAATTCAGGCCATGCGTCAGGCTAAGGGAGAGTCAATCGTAGCATTCCACGCTAGGCTGACTCAGAAGGTGCGCCTCTGCGGATACAGCCCAACCGATCAAACCCGTTTCATTCTGGCTCAGCTACTCAAAGGCATGCAAAATAGAGAGCTAGCAGTGGCTGCCAGAACGTACGGACACAATGCAAACTACATCGTACAAGCTGGTACAAAGGTCGAGGCATACAAAGCTGATGAAGTGGTTACTGAACACAGCTCCGACGTCTATGCTGTCGATCGTGAAAAAGCGCCTAGCCGAGCTAATCACGAAAGCCACCCCTCACGCAGTTTCAAGAAAATTGAGGAACGCAGGGCCACCAATCCGAAGAGGCCCAAGGGATTTTCGCAGAACTACCGTAAAGAACGACGATCTCGATGCTGGAGATGCGGGTTCATAACCGTTTGGCCCGTTATACGACGAGCAATAGCAAGCATCGCCATCGATCCAGCAAATCCTCATCAGATAGCCACAGGGTACGGACGCACAGGTAAGTAGCTCCAGCTACAACGGTATAGCCGCGCATCGCGGCCAAAGGCTAAAACTCCACAATAACCACGAGCAATGACGAGGAACTGCATCCCAAACCCCATGATTAACAAGGAGCGGATGCATCCAACGAGACTTTTAAGCGCAAAAGAATCATTACCAAACATAGGAGAAAATTCGGTAAGATCCTTCCATTGCTTTATTTTATGATTCTTCAATATTGTACTAATATTTACACATTACACACAACTACACGAAACGAAAATCAATTATTTTATTCATGTTTATCACTTATACATTTTTGCCAAAACATCAGCCTTATACCACAGACAAACAGACATAACACTCGCAAGTTGTTCATCGAACAAGCATTTAACGGTCAATTTAAAAGTATCGTAGTTGGTAGTACCGCCACCTGTGGCGCGCATAGTCAATTCCCTTGCGTTTGACGTTTACACACTACCGCCATCTGTTCAGTGTACTACCCACCACAGTGTACTCAACAGATGGCGGTAATTTTTTTGCGACGATGTTTTACAGTGAGAAATATTCAATGTGTTATGTCTGTTTGTCTGTGCTTATACATTCCATAAAACAAACCGCATAGGTCCTATAAGAATGCATAAAAGGTATGTGTAACCGCTTATACATTTCATTTGACACATGATCTTCATTAACTTTTTGCAAGGCGTCTGCTTATTAGTTGACTTATACATTTTATGAAAAATCAGCAATAGAATTTGCCAAAAGATATAAGGAGATTTCTATCCGTGTACACAAGTTAACAACTTCCTAACAAGGATGTCGTTTTTAAAAATTAAAACTAAGATGTGAATCGGTTGAAGACCAAAACTAGAACTCTTCTATTTCCCTATCAAAACAGTTTTATATTAAGAGCTATTGCATCATAATTTCGCAATGTTCCATCATGAAAGCAACCTCGATGTTCTCGATGTTTCCACGATGCGCTTCTGTTTATTTCACTAGGCATTGGTGACTTCGATGTGCTTTTGTCGGCTCTGCAGATTATGATTGTTTATGCAAACATTTCCTGTTGATGCTTGGATGGTTGAAGTTGCGTCGTTCGCTGATCGTTGATTCGTGTTGTTTCAAGTTCAATGTTGATCGTGTGATCTGGATAGTGCGTATTAATGATGGTTTATGTTTGGTGATACAGGATCAGTCAAGTTCGCTGCTGCTTTTTTAAGTTCAATGTTGCGGGTGCGATCTGGACGATGCGTATTGATGATGATTCATACTTTCTTAAGAGGTATGAGCTGTTTGATGATTCTTATTTCCTTAGGAGGAGGATGTTGATACTTTGAGAGTTGGAAACGTGAATTTGTTGGTCAATGGCAATTTATGGGAAGATACTGATGATGAGTCACCCTTTGTATAGGATGATGTTGATAACTCACATAGTAACTCGGAGCGTTTGGTACGGTATGTCCACGCATCCTTCCACCCCTGTAGGTTCAAGAAATGTTCCCATTAATTTCCAAGAATCATCCATGCGGCAAATACAACGCAGTAGACCTGGCTGTATTGATGTTTATATCATATCTCAGATATGCTGTAAACATCAATTAGACAAGAATAATGATTACACGCAGAGAAATGATTTTTAAATTCAAATGGATATATTTTTGGCTCAGGGCCTAATATATTTTTGGTATTGATTCAAATATATTATTCGTTTAATTCAAAGAAAAATACTAGGGGCAAGTCAGCTTTTAATTTTGAGTAATTTTTGAGCA